GCAGACTTATTCACTAAAGTCATTGATGAAACAATTAAAGGTCACTGTTGAGGGATTATAGAACTAAACGAGAGATCTGCCTTGGGTGGAATGTCATTTATGTGTTTCACCAAATTTATTAGGTTTTTATAGGGCCAGGAGAGAGAGAGATTACAATGTTGTCTCTTGGGTCAGATGAGATTATATGGGACTGTACTCTACATAGTTTATTACTCCCTGAATCATTTTAGCGTATGTTCTGAATCTTGCAGGAAAAGATCAGGCAGATAATTTGAAAACCTTCATCAGACAAAATCCAGTAGCTGTCAGGCAGATCCTGAGTGAAGAACTGCACGTTTTTTCAGTAGCAGAGATTTGGGTAGCAGGCTAAGAGAGGAGACTTTTTTCCCCTTCTTGATTTGACTTTGCTGCACTTACAGGCTTGCAGAAGTGGTTGGTTACAGTGTCAGGGAAGGCTGTTTTGGTTTTATGCGAGATGGTAGGAGGCTGAGCAACCTTCCCAACCACATTCCCTTTTGTCTAGTGAAAAGTCCTGATCCTGTTGGAGTCAGCCCTGCTGTCTATTTGTGGTCTCACATTACTCTGCTGCCTCACCTCTTACATAGTTGCCATCTTCCACTAGTAGGTGCAGCAGTTCCAGGTGTCTCATTTTGTCATACTATTTTGGCAGTCATTCACACCCCACACTACTTGAGCAAATAATGCTCACGGACCATATAGTTTCTGCTCATTCCTTCCCCCTGCCCAGCAAAACCTTCTCTCAGCTGAATTCCTCCACAGTGCTGCTGCATATCCCATCGCGCTCGCTTTCCAGGGAAGATTGTAGAACCATCCTTGTTTGCCACACGTTAGGATGGGTTTGCACATGGGGAAGAGCTGCCTCGCTTTTCCCATTCTACTTTCTCAACTCACAACTATTGGATCTTCATCACCAGTTTGTCACCAGATTTCCTGGGAGTAAAGGCTTTCATTCATTATGTGTAGACATGGCACTTAGGGACGTGGTTTAGTGCTGGACTTGGCAGTGTTAGGTTTATGGTTGAACTCTTATGATCTTAAAGGTCTTTTCCAACCTAAACAATTCTATGATTCCTCCTGGTGCATCTAGCAAGAGGATCCCAGTCACCATCCATAGACATGTTCCTAAGGTTGCCATTTCCAGGGGAAATAAGAGGGAGATGTGGTTTTTTTCTGCTTACTGCCAGTTCCTTAATTTACTATAAATACCATTTGGACATCATTACGGCTACGGACTTTTAAATGGAGAGTTTCTCTTCTGGAAAAGGAAGTGCAGGTAATATGGCTGCGTATTTGAAGAGATGGGTTTATTTCTAGGAAAGGAGGAAAATTAAGTCTTTGGGATCCTGAAAATTCCAAGGTGGCAGAAATAAGAAAAAAAAAATGTTTTAAAAACCAGGGAAACTATGAAGAATGAAGTATTTCTTAAGACAACTCCCTTTCTGGAGCTAAAACTAAAATACACTGACAGCAGAAAACACTGTGTAGAATTTAAATAATAGAAGCAATCTGCCCCTCTTGTAAAAGCTGGTCTCCCCTACTTACTCATAGGAACATCCTACATGCCACCAGCTACAAATGTAGTTGCACTCCTGATGCCATTTCACTGCACATACTGAGCAGTGGGGACTTCACCTTGTTGAAAAACACTAGATACTTAAGCAGGCTTCCATAGTAATGTGCAGTACTGTACTTTTTATTTGTGTACACGCTTTATATGCACAAATAGTTGCTTTCAGTTGTATATCTGTGGCTTTTTTTTTAAACTCCTTGCTTTCAGCAATGTAGAATATAATGAGAGATAACTGGTATTCTTTATAGCCTTTTATGCCCATAGCAGCTGAGACTCCCATACGACTAAGATGAGTTTGTTAATTGTCAGTTTGTTTTAATGTAATCATTCAGAAACTTAATCTGTTGTTGAAATATTTATTCTGATGTTGTTATTCCATTACTCTTTCTTGGGTTTTTTATTCATAAGAAACTATTGAAGGTAAAAAATATATATTTTATATTTCACATGCACATGTGTATATATTTATACATATCTATTTTATTTATAGGTAGATAAGCAATGTAAAACAATGACGTTAGTAAGGCCATCACATAATTACATGAAAGTAGACAGCGAGGCAGCTCTCCCAATCTTATGTGCAAGTGATCACACACAGCCAGGACAATCTGTGATTTTCCTCACCACTCAAAGGGATCTGAGTGAGTGCATTACAGGATTTCCTTTTCAGGTGTTTGGCATTGGCCTTTGCTGACATAAAGAGCAGAATCATAGAATTGTTAGGTTGGAAAAGACCTTTAAGAGCATCCAGTCCAACCATTAAAGTAGTCTGTATCTCTTTGTTAAATTGGTTTGAAAGCAACTGGTTGGTTTGAAATAGTGCCCCGGTACATTCTGTTAGCTGACAGACAGATGGTTAGGGCAGTAAATGTATGCAATCCTAAAGAACACTTGATTTGAGCCTTGCCATAAGACAGGAAAAGCAGATGAATAACTTTTCCAAGTTGTTTTCGGTCTTCAGTGCAAAGCATCTTGGCATTTGGGGCAAACTTGAATGAGAGCCAAAGGAAATGAGAGGACCCCAGTGCCCCATGCATTGCACAGAGTGTGGCCATGTGCTTTTGCTGGCTGATGAGGAGGGGCAACCCCCCCGCATGCAGAACATGCCCTCGTCCAGGCCAAACTGTCGTTCTGTTTTCCTCATTTCTCTGCTTAGGATTAGACTCTAAGGTAAATATGATGAAAGTGCATTACCAGAAATACAGCTATGCAGGTATTTTCTGACTGTAGCTGAAGGTTCCATGCCTGAACAAGAACCTGTATCTATACAGGCTGGCAGGTTTGGTGGCATTTAGAGTATAAATTATGCATGACTGAAATGAAGTGTATTTTAGTGGCAGAGAGCTGAAAAGCCTTGCAATGTACTCCTAATTCAGTGGCATTGCCTTGAGCTACTCTGAGGCCTCTTTTTTAAACTCAGACATTAGCACAAAGCACACCTCTGACTGCAGGCATTTAAAGATCAACAAGGGCCAAAAAAGCTTTTAAGATCCAATGAAACCAGGAAAACAACCATGTTGCCTTTCAGTGTCAGGTTAGATTGCCTTCTTATGAGTGCAGCTATTTCAGGTACAGAGTGCTTAGTGGTTTGGGTCTTGTTGTGTGGGGAAAGTGTTCCCCGGAAAACATCTGTTTCTTTCACCTGCAAACCGCAATGTGCTGTGAAAAGGCAGGACTGTAGCCACAGAGACCCAGGGGGATGAAGGAAATCTGGCTCAAAGGGATGAGCATGGTTTTCTGAAACACGGTATCAAAAAGAGCACTTAAAAAGAGAGAATGCTTTTAGAGCACACGATACACCACACAGTGGGCAGGTCAGGTTGCTTGTAAGCTTGAAATTCTTCCTGGATTGCTGATACTGTTTTCTTAGCGGCAATATTTGCATTCTGCTCAGAACTGCAGCAAGAGGAGTTTGTTATTTTCTTTTTCAGCAACTGGAAGATGTTCTGCTTTTCTGCAAGGTAACAGGAAATCCCCCTGTCATCTGCAGCATCTAAAATCTGTATATGCAATATAGCTGCTGCTTTCCCTTTTGTGGTCATGTCTTCATTTTTATCTTACCATTTTTGAAGTTCAGGTGTAGCTCTCATGTATGTACTACAAGTGTAGTACCACACCCTTGACTTGTAAAAATCTTTATAGTATATTTTAAGCCAACAGTTAATACTATATAATGTTAATATTATGCTATATATTACCTAAGCATATGTAATATGCAACAAATTTTCATTCAGAATGAATAAAGAGAGTAAAAGACGGTTATTTTAGAAGTAGGGATTTACACATTAAAACGACATGGATTTACAACGGCTAGAGAGCTGGCTTGTCTGGCTGTGTTTTTCGTTTCCCACAGCAGCACTTGTGCTGAGCCGGAGAGGCATTTCTGCTTGTTTTAGTAAAATTGTCCTGTGGCTTTTGGCCATGTCATCCAAGGTAGAACTGGGGAAGTTCTAGCCATTCTTCTGGAAACATACTGGCTATCGTTTCCTCTTTTCTTAAGTCAACTGCGTTCCACAGGAAGGAATTAAAAACACTGAAAGGAAACAGAGAGTGCAGAAGTACAGGGAAGCTGCTCAGGAGCAATGGTTGTGTCATTGCTGTTCAGCATGGCAACAGCATAGGTCTTGGGAGGGGATTGCAAATGAAAATGAGGAGCAGTGTTGGGCCACATGAAAAAAAATACTGAAAGAAAACAGAAGTATCCCTATAGGAGAAATAAAATCTGCCTTCCCAGTGCCCCTGCCTGGAGAACTCCTTGGCAGAATCAGGGGATGGCTGCAGGCTGGCAGGGAGCAGGGTGCCTGGGCTCTCCCAGGAGCGCTGGGTCTTGCCATGGAGAGACGAATGTCAATGGGAGCGAGAAGGCAGCTCGGGTCCCACGTGGGACACTGTGCCTCCCTTTCTGAAGAGTAACCGTGTAGAAGGAGGTAACTTGGTGGTGTAACTGCGCAGCAGAAGTAGGTCTGTCTATGCTGGTGCCCTCAGTTCAGCCTGTGAGGATAAACGCAAGCTCTGTCCTTGTGCCGTAGGTGGGAGGGGAGGGCCCTGCTGACCAGAAGGCAGCCAGCGTCACGCTTGTCTTTACAAGTGGCGAGGAGATGGGCCTGGGGAACTGGTCAGCCCTGCGTCAGTCTCTGGAAAGATCACGGAGCCCATTTTCTTTGGAACCCAGAATGCCTCATTCCCAGGCTGGTGCCATAAAGAACTGCAACCAATGATAATCCCTATTTTGGCTGCAGCCATGGAGCGCATGGGGTGTGCAGTGTGTCGCCAAATCACACCTGCTCTTTCTGGCCTGAAAATACACAAAAGGTGGTGCTCAGGGCAGAGGAGGGCCTTTCACGGGTTGGAATTTCAACCATTTAATCAAATAAATGGTCTTCTAATGGCTGCCTTTTTGCTCTTTCAGAGGATGACATGAATAATTACATGAGCCGATACCACAACGAGCCTAGCAGTGGTAAGTTTTGCTTGAAAATGTAAACGTGAACTGCATTTTTGCATTGCACTGTTCTGTAAACCGGGTGAGACTGAACAGTGATGTAGATCCGTCCTGGAAATGAAACCCACCATAGCACCTCTTGGTTTGCTCCATGGAATTCTGTACCAAAATAGTAATTCTCTTACAGTTGAAGGGCCCCAAGTTTGCTCCTGTTTTTGAAGGCACTCATAATGGTTTGGAGATCTGGGAGAGGTTAATTCCCCCTGGCTAGGCTGTCCAGTCCGCAGAGTGGTTCAAATGGACCCGAGAATGAACAGCGGGACAAAATAAACGGAGAGGAAGGAAGCAGGGAGTTAGCTTAGCCCAGCGCCGTGCTTGGGAACCTTTCAGAAAGGTTAAACTGAAGGGCAAGAAGCCTCAGCAGCAGGAACCGTCTGCGACCCGCGGACGGCGCCTGGCAGGGGCCCGGAGGGCTCTGCGCGCTGGGGCCAGGCTCTGCCC